AAAAGAAAGAGGAAAACCACTCACATCATGCCACGGCATCCTCGCACTCTCCAGCCCACTCAGCGTATTGCTCGCATACATCCACACGTTCTGGAAGTCCATAACGCGCGCGTTGTTGTAGTCCTGGCCCGGGAAGAGGGTTTGGCCTGTGCGGGTTGCGGTTAGTATAGTATTCGCCTGTCGATATAGAGAGCGAGAGGGCGAAGGGATGGAGAGACGGAGACGACGTGGTGGTGCGCATGCTGCATACTCTGCGTACTCCGAGCCCACAGGAGGGACGTAGACAGTACACGTATCGCGCCCAGTCTGTCCTCACCCCGCTAACCCCGCGCTCCAGGCCGTATCTCCTTTCGTTTTCCTTCGACGGCCCGCCAAAAGGAAATCGGACACTCACTAAAATCCGTCGGGTGCACATCCGCAAGCGGGTGCGTGTGCGTATCCCACCGCCCAAAGCACAGGTCCAGCCCCCCGATGCACGCGTAGTGGTTGTCCACGACGACGACCTTTTCGTGGTGCGACCAGAACTCGACGGTATCTGAGAAGTGAAGATGGGTCAGCAAAATATTTAGAACATGAGATGGAAAGGGGAAGGAGAAGGAGAGAGAAGAGCGAGAGCAGCCCGCAAACGACCGCCTCCGCGCCTTCAAGACGGCTTTACACTTCGACCGAGCCCGTCCCGCGATGTACCCCAAGAAGCCGCAAGTAATGCAGCTCCAGCGCGCCCACCGGCTACCTGCGCCCTACATCCCAGCGGCGCGCCCGAACATCTCGTACGCTCGCCCACATCCCCAGCTCCAGCCTGCGCAGCAACACGAGGCCCTCGTCGACCTCGGGCAAATATCCCCATCCAGATATTCGTGCCCGTCCAGCATCCCTCATCTCGCTGATGCCCGAAACGCCCTCATTCTGCACCCAACTCCCCTCCCCTCCCCCACTTTACATCCCCTCCCCCTCCCCCCGCCCATCGCACAGAAGAACAAACCCAAAACGCACCTTTTGCCCCAATATGGTCCGGGTGCCTTAAGCACGTAACGTTGGGGTGGAGCGCCTCGAGCGCGCTCTTGGTGTGCTTGGACGACATGCTCATCGTCTGGGTGACTTCTTTGTAGACGATTACGTGGACCTGGAGGAGAGGGTGGGGAGGGGTGGAGCGTTAATGAGAAGGGAAGAGGGAAGAGGAACGGAGAGTGGAAGGGAAGGAGAGGGAGGAGGAAGGAGGAAGGAGGAAGAGTGAGCACGAGCACGAGCACATCGCCCTATGTAACACGGACGCGTCTCGTCTCGCCTGTGGAAAGTGTACTTTCCCCATCCAAGCTCGGCAGGGACGCGGAAGGAATGCATGAAAGTGGACGTAGCGGTCCATGACCCACAGCCACTTCTCCGTGTCAAAGCCAGACTGCCGTTCTCGCAAACACAGAATGATGCATATGCCCCCCCGCCCGCGCCGAGGAAAACGTCGCGAAAGAATGACAAACGTCCACCGCGCATGTGAGTCGCCTCCCGCGTCTCCGTCGGCGGCCCTACAAGCCCGACGTCGCCCGCAAACCGCTCGACCACGGGCCAAACGCGACACCCGACACGGAAATAAAGACGAGGCCCCAGTCCCTCTTGACGTCGACAACGGCGCCTACGCACGCGACCACTCTATGTCTCGGGGACCAATGCCGACACGACACGCCTCGGTCCATAAGATCCGCCAAACTCAAAGAAACGAAAGCCATCACGACACTGGACGAAAACAGCAGCACCGTCCCGTCTCGCTCCAAATCGGTCGCCGCCAGGAAAAAAAAAAGGTGCAGAGAGAAAGAGCGCGGCCGCCGACGAACGCGTCGAATCCCACAGAGCGGGAACGTGGGCACATGCTACAAAGTGGCCGCAGCAGCGTACTGTCGTCCGCACGATATAAACGCCCCCGTCCCCCGTCCCCGAACGGCCCAACTCCCGCCCAAAAGAAAGCCTCGGCCCAAGGACGCAACCACGCGTGAAATCGTCCACCCACTCCCTCTGCTCCGAGTCTGCTCCCGCTGCGCTCCCGAACGCGCGCTGCGAACATCCCCGAACGTGCATCCCAGGCGCGGCGGCTCCGCAACGGTATCGCTCGCTCGCTCGCCCGCGTGCACCACACATCGCTCCTTCCTCGCCAAACCTCACACACCGACACTCGCGCCAAGACACACTGCGGTCAAGCATGAAGCCCGCAGAGTCCGCAGGCGAATCACAAGGAAACCGCAAACAAATCACAAGAAAACCGCAATCGAATCACAAATAAATGATGCAGACGGAAAACCCCTAGCAGAATGCAGAACGCAGGCAAGAATGCTCACCTTGACCCCCTCCTCGGCCTTGCGCTTGAGCAGCCTGTCGAGGCGCCACTCGGGGTGGTACGCGGGCGGGCGGCGGAGGTAGAGCTCGGGGGTGAGCCACCAGTCCTATAAACGAAAGCAAATGTTGGTGAGCGTCAAAGTTGGTAAAGAGAAGGAGGGAGGAAGACGGAGGAGGGCAGAAGGTGGGAAGGAGTGGGGAAAGGAAGAAGGATGGCGCGCGCGCGGCCGGCGGGGGAACGACAAGGGGTCGTCGTCACCAAGGAGCGGGAAAACGCAGAAGGGACGAGCCGAACGCGCTGAAGACGAAAGACCAAATCCAGCGCCGGCGACACAAACGCCAAGGCGCATGAAAACGCCAAGGCGCGACGCGTGCACAAGGCCGTCACAACGTCAGCGCCCGCATTGGCACGTTAAAGCTGAAGCCGACGTCAAGGCGCGACGCGATGAAGGCGCACGCATGGAGTCGCCAGCGCCAGCGCTAGCACCCGAAGGCCAAACTGGAGGTCGACGCCACCATGCGCATTCGAAGCCCAAGTCTCGGCCAACGACACGGCTCATATTGGCGCAACAAGGGCGAACACGTCAGACCCGATGCGCGGCGCGAGGGAGGTGCGGAACCGCACACACAGCTGCACGAAGAAGTACACAAGACGGCCCTGACGAACCTGGATGAATATAACCTCGCGCGCATTGTCGATCATCTCGGAGAGGGCCCACATGTAGTCGTGCCCGTCGATGTGCCTGCGGACGGCGGTCAGTACGTGAGAGCAATATTATTTTCAAAGTGGGGATAAAGATGAAGACGCGGGGTAATGCGGGGTAATGCAGTCGAAGGTGACGAGAGTGCATCTCGCGTATTAGCCGTCTCGACTCCCCCGCCCACCTTCCCACCAAGACAAACTCGCGAAGACTCACCATTTAACGAAATTCTCGCTCCTCTCTGCCGCAAAGCTGTCGAAGCGGTGCCCCGCATTGATCTCTGCGCGGATCTCGTCCTGGCGCTTTTCCTCGGGGTCGTCGTGGCGGCCTGTCGGGCGCGCGCGTTAGCTCATCTCTGTTCTTATCTCAACAGAAAGAAGAGAGGGAGACCACTCACGATTGGGGTTAATAAGACCTATACAGAAACGAGGTAACGTCAGTACGCGCTGGAAAGAAAGCTTGTTGGAGTGAAAGAATGAATGAAAGAATGAATGCGCCCGCCACACCGCTCTAAAGCCTCCTATCGGCGCGCACGATGACGCGCAAGCGGGAGGGATTCACTCGCGCGAGAGAAAGGAAAGTAAGAGGAAAGAAAACGCACCGATAATCTCATCCCTGGTATGCTGATACCCCTCCGGCAGCTTCTCCACCAGGCCTTCGAGTTTCTTGAAGAACGACATCTCTGGTTTTGCTTGCTTTCCTTCTTCTTTATGCCGTTACTTCCTGTATTCCTTCACTTCTCGTCTTCTGCGGTTGCTTTCGGCGTGGTTGAACGAGATGGTTGAGAACGAGTTGAAGACAGAATTCAAGGCAGGGCGGATCGATACGCCGCGCACGGGCGCTGTTGCGCGGTTGTCAAGATCTAAATCCGGACTGATTGATGGGTGACGCACCATCACCGCCCGTTGGCAGTTGCCTTTTTGGTTCAACTCGACGCGCTTCAAATTAAATGCCAAGCAGTCAACGCCAAGAGGCCAAGGCGCGTTGATTTTGTGCACAAACGAGATGCGAGGCGACGAAAAACGCATTTCTTTCTTCTTCTTTTTGGGTTGAAGAAATTGTACTTAGCCTGGACCGCACAACTTACAACCATGACGAAGCGAAGACTCATCCCACCTCATCCCGCTCATCTATCACCGCTGGCACCCTTCCCGAATTCCGAATCCCGACGGGCAACCATGGCCATCGTACTGCGGTCCCCGTCGGAGTACCCATAACCCCGACGGCGTTCAAACTAAGTTCAACTTGAAGTTGAAGTTCGGTAAATTATAACACCATTCACAGGCATTCAGCTCGGGGTTGGACGGGGAACAGGGTGTCTCCTATACATATCTACTAATGCTCGCGTTCTTGTGCAGGAACCAAGTTAAAAAGAAGATCATCACACCGCATCCCTCGACCCCGAATCGAACGGGGACCTCCTACCGATATACCGAATTATCGCCCTTGAACGAAGGCAGGTGCACACCATGTACTATCAGGTTTTCTCTCATCCAGCTCTGAACCTCAATAAGTGTGAGCAAAAACTGATTTTACAGCAAAGAAAAGGTAATATGAACGGTCGAAGGCTGACGACAACTTGAAGTTGGGTAGATTATTTATAAGACTATTCACAGGGACGCAGACTACCGTCGGGATTGGACGGGGAACAGGGTGTCTACTACTCGCTGTGCATGAAATAAGTTAAAAACACTTTTGAGTCCTACGGAATATCACCCAACCCCGAGTCGAACGGGACCTCCTGCCTACATCTCAACGAAGTGGAAGAGCAGTGAAGGAAGGCAGGTGCACACCATGTGCTATTGGGTGTTCCTATACACAGTTTCAAAGGTGTAGGGGTGTGCAAAAAAAAAAGTTGGTGAATGGCCACTTGCGTGTAATTTACAGAACCAGGGGAATTTAATTTTAATGTAATTGAAATGGATCAATCGGCAACTTAATATGCGGAAAAAAGAATCCAACTAATCTCTGGTCAAGCCACCCGACCCCGAGTCGAACGGGGACCTCCTGCCTACATCTCAATGGAATAGAAGAGCAATAAAGGAAGGCAGGTGCACACCATGTGCTATCAGGTGTTTTTCTACTGGTTTTGAAGCTGGATATGTAACAAAGTAATCTGCAAAAGTGGGTGTGAAGTTATCTCAATTACCCAAGCCACTGCAGTATGATGTTCCAAAGAAAAAGGCCAGTGCCCAGGACTCCGGGAAGAGAAGCCACTTAATTACAGACGGGAGAAAGGAACAAAATGTGATTGATAGAGTCTATCACCCGACCCCGAATCGAACGGGGGCCTCCTGCCTGCATACCTTGAGGGAACACTCAAGAAAGGCAGGTGCACACCATATGCTATCAGGTGTTCTCAGCCTTGTGTAGAGGCTGGCCATGGGTAGGGGGCAATAAAAAGTAATGCAGGTGAACACAACAAAGAGAGAAACATGACTCAAATTTACAATACTCTAGTTTGAGGAATCTACAAATCCCTAAATATAGCCACCCTGAGGAAAATAAGTTAGATGTCCTTGTGGATGTCAAATCCAGAGAATGGGCAATTTCTTGGGGAAAAAATGACATTAGGAACACCTCAGTACCTGACCCCGAATCAAACGGGGACCTCCTGCCTACATACATTAAATCCCATTTAAGGAAGGCGGGTGCACACCATGCGCTATCAGGTGTTTGTTCTCTTATCCAGTTTTAAATATGAACCTCAATAAGGATGAGTGTGTGCAGGGGTGGGTGAAATACTCATTTTTGCAGTAAAAAAAGGAATATGAACGGTCGGTTGTTCGGAAAACGAGGGCAAAGAAACAGAGTGATTGGAACGGGGGAAAAATCATGATGTCATTTGGGAATCACCCGACCCCGAGTCGAACGGGGACCTCCTGCCAATATATTGGTGAAGTACAGCTCCAAGGAAGGCAGGTGCACACCATGTGCTATCAGGTGTTCTCTTATCCAGTTTCGAACCTCAATAAGTGTTTGAGTGAAAAACTCATTTTTTGCAGAAAGAAAAGTAATATGAATGTCACCATTGAGACACTCGGTTGTTCGAAAAACAATGTCAAAGAGAGGAACTGATTAGAATGAGGGAAAAAAAAATCGCAACACTGTTTGCTAATCACCCGACCCCGAGTCGAACGGAGGCCTCCTGCCTACATCTCAATGGAATGGAAGAAGCCTAAGGAAAGCAGGTGCACACCATGTGCTATCCGGTGTTCTCCTACCCAGTTTTGAACCTCAATAATTGTAAGTGTGCGCAGGGGTGGGTGAAATACTCATTTTTGCAGCAGAGAAAAAAGTAATACTGTATGAACGGTCAAAGGCCGACGGCGTTCAAACTTCAACTTGAAACTGCGTAAGTTATAATATTATTCACAGGTCGCCGTCGGGATTGGACGGGGAACGGGGTGTCTACCAATCCTCGCGCTCTTGTGCAGGAAGTAAGTTAGAAAACACTTTTAAGTCCCACGGAATATCACGCGACCCCGAATCGGACGCGGACCTCCTGCCTACAGACCTTGGAAGAGTAACAAAGGAAGGCAGGTGCACACCACGTGCTATCAGGTGTTCTCCTACCATATTTCAACTTTAATGAGTGTTACCAAAAGTCTGCACAAGATATGGTTAAACTCACATCAACTGCTGGTATCAGCCAGGTTGAACAAGACATCCAGCTACCTGAGTGAATGCAAAGAGAAATACACCAGCTGTCGGGCAAAAAATCAATAAGTTGCAACGGAGCAAAAAACCATGTGAACCAGGCATCACCCGACCCCGAATCGAACGGGGACCTCCTGCCTTAGACCTGTGCATCTTGGCTCCGCGAGGAAAGCCAGTACACACCATGTACTATCAGGTCTTCTCTCATCCAGTTGTGAATCCCAATAAGTGTAAATGTGAGCAGGGGGTGCAAGAGGTGGGCGGCCGAAAAATCCCGGATATCAACCTCCCCTCAGCCGATGGTGATTAAATTTAGGCGCCAATTTCATTCTCTACCCGTATTCCAAATGTAAGGAACGGGCCACCCCAATTTTCGCATGGTCCGAGACGCCCTGTGTAGTTTTTAGAATTTTTTTTGCAGTGCAAGCATGAAAACCAGCGAATCTCATCGGACCGATGATGCGGTGCCAAACAGTTCGGCAGAAATTTTGGCTGCGGCATCTACTGCTTTCATAGCTGCCACGAACTGGATCATCTGTTTCATACTGAGCGACTCTTCCTCGGTTTTCGAGTTCTGAATCTGCATATTGACCACAAACTCCGGGATTTGATACTGAGGAGGTTGCATTGCGGGATACTTTGGAGCATAAGCCGTCACTGTTCTACTATACTGAGGAACTATCTGGGTCTGATAGTTGGCCACAGGGTGCTAATGCTGCCTTTCTGAATTTCCTTTGTTCTGGCGAATATATTCCTGAACTTGCTGAGTACGACTCTTGTCATCACGGGAGTTGTATACCAAATTCAAGGTATCCGCCATACTGACATGCCAGTTACTAATTGTCTCGAGGTTCGGGTGGTTGTACGCCTGGATAAGTACCTGGGGAGCCCCGGGCACCAATTTTCCTGCATAGTAGTCATCAACCCATTGCTTTCGACTCTTGTTCTCCGGATATCTCGGAAATGGTTGGCCATCACCCAATCTCATTCACCGCAATTTACCAGCAGTCTACTACGTACAGACTATTCTCTCTATTTTTCTTCATTCTTATGAGTTTGTTTTGCAGTTTCTCAAGTGCATTTGAGAAGTAATATCAGTGTCTTCTAACCCCAAAGGGAAGGTCACTAGTCATGCACAGACTGATCACCGCTGTTGAGGGACTCAAGCAGCATCCACCAGTGACTGACAACAAGACAGCATTCTGGACTGCCTATAAAACTTTGGCAGATGAGTACGACAAGGAAACTCAACGGAAATATGGAAACGACTTAGACACTGCTTTGATTTTTGCTTGTGACCCATGTACATTTCAATCTGATACTGATTGTGTAACAAGGCCGGTCTCTTTTCAGCTGTCAGCTCAGCATTTATCATCCAGATACAGCCTGAACTTCAGCCCACTTCAGAGCTGACTGGAACAACACTTGCTCTGCTCACTCTCCTGGCCCAGAACATAAGTGTACCTACATCAAGCACCCCATCATTCAGCACCCCACCAACCATAATTGTGGTTGTGCAGGGTTTCCTGTATTTCATCCTCTTCTCCACTCTCCTCGCTGCACTGCTGGCTGTCCTGGGGAAGCAATGGCTTCTGCACTATGATTCAGTGGGCGAGAGAGGAACCATTGCACAGCGTGGGCTTGAACGACAGCACAAATTTGACGGGATGCAACACTGGAACTTTGATCCTGCTATGCAAATGTTTCCTCTTCTCCTCCAGTTTGCCCTTTTGCTTTTTGCCATTGGACTATCCACCTATTTGTGGACAATAAACCATGTAATTACTGCACTTGTTCTCGGCCTCACAGCTTTGGGGTGTATCTTATACACTACAATGGTTGTCTCTGCTATGAAGTCAGCAGACTCCCCATTCCAAACACCCCTTACTCGCCTGTTGAACATAGTTGTGGCCAAATTTATCCTTCCAGCAGCCTGGCATCACCTTCCAGGGTGGGCCCATCACATCTGGGACCACATTCCCCTCCACCGGTTAACTCCCTCAGTCCCTTCACCTCCCTTGTCCCCACATGATCTTCCCCCTCCTCTCACAATCAACAGTGGGCCCTCAACATCATTCTTTCCCTCACTGCGTCGATTCCCCAGCAGGAGTAACTTTGTAAAGAAAAACTGGCATAAGGTGGAAATATTGTGTGTAAATCTCTAGCACTTCCTTGTCCAAACATGGACAGCATTCGTTACTTCTGGCTCCAGCCCTGCCTCCGGTGTATCCTTGCAGTCATCAACCTTCATTTTCAACAACATTCCGCCACCATCACCAGAGTGCTCCGTTGTTGTATGGGTGCTGGAGACCTCCACCAATCCTCTGATGGTCCAGAGTGCTGCTGCTCTGGTTCCTGACTTACAGTGGTGGCCACTCAGCTTAAACATTGGCCCATCAAAACAATGATTGGTTGATACCTTAGAATCCTGCCGCAGTGGTGACATGATCCCTGCTAATATGGAGACACGAGCTGGTCTCTGTGCCAAGGCAGTTATACTACTGAACCTGGTGGACAGCCCCCAGAATTACCACCACATAAGCTCACACTTCCAAACTGGCAACCAAGAACTCAAATCACTCCTTCAGACCTTCAATATCTCATCCCCATATCGGAATTCTTTCACACCAACCCACTGGACTCTGAGGGCCTTGGCTGGAAAGGGGTTCACCACACACCAATTGTTTGATCTCATTCGACATGTTATGGGCAAAAGAGCGGAGGACCAGGCAGCCTTTGCTGAGGTTCTGTTTTGTCTCAACACTTTCTTCTTGCCGGCTCTACCTTGCGACCACTCAGTTGTAGACAAGAGGTATACAAGTCTATCATTTATTCTTAAATCCAATCTGAATGTTGTTCAAGCCCTCATATCATCCAGCTTACAACACAATTATTCCGGAATCTTGTCAAATATCTTGCAGAAACTAAAGAGCCACAGCACAATAACTTGACAATCATGCTTTGGAAAATTGCAAAGTTAGCCCGTGGAGAAGGATACTATCCACTTGTTGATTCATTGAATACTCGGAAGTATTCACAAACAACCATCGACCTCATGGATGCTGCATACAAATTTTGTGTTGTCCCAGATCTCCCACCAACAGCAATAATTTATACCCTCGGACTTCTTCCATTCCTTGACATCCAGAACCTATCCACAGTCAGTGATGACTATTCATGGCTTTATAGTCATTTTGAGCACATTGCCCCTGCTGATGAACTACATCTTGGGTGTTCACTCCATGTGCTTGATCGTGCTTTGTCTACAGACCAGGCCCCAAAACCTTCTGTAGGATTCCTGAAGGCCCTCCTACGAGTCCTGACATTGTCATCCACGGACTTTGAGAGGTCATACAATGGAGCAAAATCCCTCACCTCTAACATCATATGCCACCAATATTCTTGGTTCCTGGATAAAGAGTTGGGGCGGCTGCTGGAAAAGCATTCACTATGGGCCAGTTTGGCCCAGTTTTCTGATGTGCCATCTTATCTTTCTCTAGGCGAAAGGCTCTCTCAAACACCCAAGTGGAAGGAGTTCATTTGGCAAGATCTACCTGTCTGGCTCCTGCAGCTCCAGAGATTGTGGCAAAATCAATGGCCCCGGATGTTGAGAACTACTTCCAGATGGTTCAGGACACTCTTCAGCGAGTATGGAATGCAAATGCTGATGAAGCAGAGCTTTTAGAGATGAAAAAA